CTTCTCCAAGGAGGATAAGGGAACCAAGCCCCCTCTGTTGCAAAAGTTTCACATCCCAATCAGATAACTGTCAAATCAGGGCACAGCTTCTATTGCTGGACACTAATACCATGTGGTGTATTGTCCGTCTTAACTAAATACCACATCCCAGCAGGCTCAACTAAATCTGTGTATTAGGAAAAACAACAAAGGAATTAAAAAATTTCATCTTCACATCAGCGTCTTAGGCGATTTCCAGAAGAAGTACTTCATTGTGAAAAGAAGGTCATCTCATTAAGAAATGGAAAACAAATCCTGTTTCGTTTCCTTTTATGAATTCTCCACATAAAGCATTAATTTCTATTTTTATTTTTTTAAGATGTATGTTCTTCCCTGCACGAGACCTTCTTTTGTCTAGAGGTACCCGTTCTGGTCAAAATTCTGTTGCAAGTGAAACTCATCTTTTGATTGCTTTAATCCAAAATTATTTTTAAAATATGGTCACAAATGAATTAATGAATTGGAAGAAATCACCAAAAAAGCAAAGTGTTATTGGTATCATTTAAGACCTTGGTGCTAAGACAATGATATATATACATTCAAATTATGTTCTACTTCTTTCTAGGTATTATACAGCTACATTCTCCTTAAAACTGTGTAAAACATAAAGTTTAAATCAAAATATGAACAAACAATTCAGAAGGTAAAATTAGTTGATAATATGGCTTAATATTTAATTTTGCTAGTAATCAGAAATGTATATTAAGCAATTAACATTTTTATCCATTAACAAATATCTCAAAAATTATGTTCAAATCTGGTGAGGTGAGGAAAAATGGTAAACTTCTATAATGCTGGTGCCTGCATCAATTTGAATTCTCCTTTTGAAAATAAATTTAGGGCTGGATGTGGTGGCTCATGCCTATAATTTTAACATTTTGAGAGGCTGAGGTGAGAGGATCACTTGATACCAGGAGTTCAAGACCATTTTGGGAAAGAGAAAGACCATATCTCTATAAAAGAAAATAATTAGCTGGTCATGGTGTCACACATCCGTAGTACCAGCTATTAAGGAGGCTGGGGTGTGAGGACCACATGACCCAAGAATTCGAGGCTACAGTGAGCTACAATGGCACTACTGCCATCAAGCCTGGAAAAGATCTCATCTTAAATAAATAAAAATTTAAAAAGTCACCTGGTACTGCATTGTTTTCACTCAGTACATTTTATTGCAAAGATGATGGTCACAATGTTTTTTCATAGCTTCATTTATTTTTATTTTTTTAAAAATGTATTCAACAAACACATGTAGAGTCTCAGAGTTATTTAGCCATTGGGGAAATAAATAATAGAGTCTCACATCCTTTGCTTTCATGGAAACTATAGTCTAGATATACATGATATTCATGAATAGTTACATACATGAGTAGTTGGGCATTGATATACATGAATAGTTGCTTAGTAGTGCAAAGTATCTGGATGGGCAAAAAAGAGGAATGTAACCAATCTAGGATTTGGGGGACTCTGGTAGCCTTAAGTACGATGTGTCAACTAAGCTGAACCTAAAGGAGAAGAACTGGATAAAGCAAAAGAGAGTGGAATGTTTGTATCATAGGGCAGAAGGAAAAGCAGGCGTGTGAGCTCCAGGTGAAGAGCACTTACATCTCTAAAATAATTGAGTGGCAGTCCCTGTAGCTTCCAGGTGGTGAAGTGGTTAGGCATTGAAGCTAAGGATAAATGCAGGGACCACATCATGAAAGGCCTGATCAATCATGATAGAAATATATAAGAAATTTTATTGACAAGGCTGAATAATTTTATCCAAAGGATTAGGAACTTCAAGACAGAATGACATGTTTGAATCTGCATTTTGGAAAGGGCATTCTGCTTTGCAGTGTGTAGGAAGGATTGAAGGAGGGTGGGCAGGAACAAAGGCAGAAGGGAAAAAGGATCCATTCTAGTCATGTAGAGGAATAATGGTGGTGACTCAGACAAGCATAGGAAGAATGGAGATGAAGAGCAGTTGCCGAATTTGAAGGATATTTAGGGGAGGGAATCAATAGGGTTTAGTGATGAATTGGATATAGGGGCTGAATGGGAGAAAAGTAGGTGATATGCAGGTTCCAGCTTTAGGGAACCCAGTGATGCTTCAGAGAGAGAATGATCCTGATGATATAAATTTGGGTATGGTATAGGTATGTGGAGAATTATAGTATCAACATAATGCTAAAGCTTGGATATAACTAAACGTGAAATAGCAAAGAAGTAGATCTACACTGACACATCTGCTATCACCTCAATTAGTTTTACAAGAAGATATCATGAAAAAAATGAGATAATATATTACAAATATATTTGTGTATTCTGTGTATACACAACTTAAATATTAAGTATACATCTGAAACAGATACTATAATAAATCATACTGAATTATTAATAGTATTGGTCTTCAGGAATTTGGTGACAATGGATAGAAATATTTTTAACATGTATATGTATTTTTCTATAATGTCTTAGAAACTGTAATTTTCTCTATAAAATATATCATACAATGTTAAAAACTATATTTTCAGTTTCACTATATTGAACTATAATATGTTTACAAGTTACAAGATCACTATAAAAGATACTTTCTAAGATTTTGGAAGGCAAAATTTCTCAACAGGTAATAACGCAAAATTCACCGGTCAATGTAATATTTTGTGTTCTATCAAAACAAAATCAGCATAATGAAAAATTGCTGTTCTGGATGTTATTGCAAAGAGGTTTTTATCCTGAGCCCGTGACTTAGAACTTTTGGCAAGTTGTTTAACCTCTGAGAAGGAGCCTGGATGACTGCTGAGACAGGAGAGTCGGTTTGGATTTTCTCTAAGGTGTTCTTCCACCCTAGTTTGCCTGTGTCCACATCCCACACAAAAAATTCCTTCAAACCATGTTTCAGTCAAATCAGCCTATGTTTACATTTTGAGGTATGCAGCTAAATGGCCACAGTCTGAGATTATATGTGACCTGACATCTAATAGGAGTGTATTTCTTTCAAAGAGAATTTAATGTTTGTTCCTTACACTTTTGTTTTCCCTCTTTTATTTCTTCTTTTTGTCATAAAAAGATTGGAAATCCTCACTGTATTAGTGTGAAGAACATAAAACACAAAGTTTTTCCTGAAAGGTAATTTTCCAAGAGTGAAAAAATATGAGAATGGTATTTGATTGTTTGGTTTTCTGTCATTCATTGTTGCATTAAAACAACCATTTTTCCATAACTATGAATGGCCTCTTGAAAACTGTCAGTTACAAATGAAAAGCGATAACACTTTGAAAGCAAAACCTTTCCTAAATCCCACTAGGTTTTCAGATGAATTTGAAAATTAGTTAGAGGTACATATTCATACACAAATGTATCCATTGTTGGGGAAGAAATTAAATAATTTATAAATGCCATCTCCATATTCTCAGCAATATATTCTTTTTTACATCTTAAAATGAATAATTGTTATAAATCTTATCCTATTCTTTTTCATTTTTTCCTAAGGACATTTATATTTTGTTTTTCCCTGATACGTGAATTTTAATATACGTTAGATACCATGAAGTGAAACCCAGAATTGCCATAGTTTATGAAGCCTTCTGTATTATTTCACTAAAACAGGTGTGTGTGTGTGTGTGTGTGTTTCCTGGTTACGTGTTGATTCTAGAAACCTAAAAATAGAGAAAAAGCAAAAAATTAATACGATTACCAACATTGCATAACCCAGAGAAAAACACCTGGATTAAATTTGACATCTTACTTCAAAGTCTCTTTAAATAAACCGTTATGGGAACAAGTGACTCAGGTTAAATCACTGTATGTTTCCATTAAGGGACAAAACTCTACCTGTCATCATAACTAGTATAGACTCTTTGGCTTAGACCTAATTTGAGAGGCCAGTTTTGGAGATTACTTAAGTGAAAGCTAAAATGATGGTTTCAAATTAACAATCAGAGAAAAACAAAACTTTTCCTTGTGGACCTCTTGGGAAATTAGTCACCTGTGTAGGACCAGCATGGGTTCTCCCGCACTCAAAGTATGCACAGCTAAACTGGTCTCAGGGCCCATGCTGTAATGCTGTAAACCAAGACAGCTTTCTTTCTGTAATCTGATGGTTACTCTGTGTTTGCATCTCTGAAAGTTCCTAGTTCAAGTCATGAAGAAAAGAGAGATGTTAGAATTCCTAAAAGAAAAACTTTAAACAAATTAAATTTAAGTGAGTTTAATTGAGCAAAGAACTGTTTGTGAATCAAGCAGTCCTTGAACCAAAATAGGTTTAGAGAGACTCCAGGCTGCCACATGGTCAAAGAAGATTTATGGACAGAAAAGGAAAGTGACGTTTGGAAAACGGAAGTGAAGTTCAGAAACAGCCAGATCAGTTACAGCTCAGCGTTTATCTGATTTGATCACGATGTGAATTGTTGGCTTTAGGCATAATTTAAAATATGTGAGGAGGCAGCTTTAGTCTAAACTTAATTTAACAGACCCACATAAGACCAGTGGTTTAATAAGATCTCAAACTCTTTAAAATGTGCATTCTAATGAAGATGATATTTAGCTCTACCTAACTTTTCAAATTCCTTTTCATGCACTCATAGCATGTAATATTTCAGCCATCCCACACTTCCTACAGTTTCTCTCTTACCTTTTTATCTCTGCACGTGGCATGCCCGCTGTTGGAACACCTTCTCCAACTTGCCCAGTTGGTCATGACATATATCCAGACTGTGTTGAGGGGTAATCTTCGCTGTGATGCCTGCCATAAACTCTCCCAGGGACAGATAGTCTTTCTCCTCTGTACCTGATGGCACTTGGCATATATTTCCAATTTATTGTAAGCATGCTAGTCATAGGTTTGTTATTATTTATCTCCATTTTTAGTCTGTGAGCTACTGGCAAATAGTAACTATGCCTTAGTCATCTTTGAATCCCTAGTACCTAGAACATTGTCTACTCTTAATAGACGTGCACACATGTCTGTTTAAAAAAAATGAGCCTTTGCACAGTGTCAGTATCATAGCAAGTGAGTTTCATATGAGGCACAATTATTGCTAATAGAAAACTTTTCCCAATACCCCGCCATAACGACTTGGATTATAATCAGAATTGGCAATTTTTGACGGTCTCCATGGAGACTGAATAAAAAAGAAGAATTAAAAGTACAAAAAATATAAAATAATAAACATTAAATGTATTAAACTGTAATAAATTGGAGAATAATTACTGTGCCTTTGAAGGGTCTACTGAAATTTGAAGTTCCTTGTTTAAAGAACTCAGAATGGCACTTTGATTTCTTTGTGTGTTAAGTGCTGTTTCCCATCTGTCACTCTGCACAATTTATGATCAGCTCAATGAAATAATATCTAAGTATGGTAATATATAAGATCGGCACAGTTGAGGTGAACTATGCAAATGCATTGATATAAAACATTTCCATTTTTATTACAGGTTAGGAAGAAAGCATAAGAGTTTTCAAGTTAAAAATAAACAAAAACTTTTATTGGAGCCTAGGGAAAGAGTCTGTGTTTCATAAATTGCATTAAATATTTGGTATGTAAAATTCCGACTGCTGTTCTGCATTAAATGGATGAAATGCATCCCCTATCTAATTAAGTAACCATATGGAGACAAGTCACATTTACATAAACAAAAGCAGAGAGCCTGGCTCAACTGTATTCTCTTTTAGATTATGTAACTTGGTTTCCGTGCTATGGCTTTCTGCTCTGACTTGCACATTGCCATGGACCAATACACTCACAGAAAATGAATGGAAGTTAAAGAGCTAATTCTAAAGAGCCTTACTCTATTTACATATTGCAGTGAGAAGGACTCTGGAATATTATGAAATCTCCTATGTTTGCTAACTGCTTGCCTGTTAAAGCCAGTAGATTTGGGATCTGGCCAACAGGAAACCCATTGTGTATTAGCCTGCTTTGCAAGATAGCCATGTGCCTGGTGTATGGTGTAACCATTTCCCTGCATGTTTATTGAATAAATGCTTCACAGCATGTGTTCAGAATTTTTGACCTAACAGAATTTTACTAATGTAGCTACAGGGAGCAAATGATAAAGAAGTGTTATAAGCAATGGTCCATATCACTAAGGCTCTAAGATGAAAACAGTAATAGCAATCAGAAAATCAAAACATAAATGTTAGGATAATATGTTTGAGAATGGAAATAATAGTGATGATAATCGTAATTCTTTCCTTTTTATACTATTCTTTGTCCACACAGGGATCTTGCTGAAGTTTGTGGTCATAGTAGCACATTATATGTATGTGACATTTAATCACTTACTCTATTTTTACATATAGTTTAACATCACAAAACACCAACAGATTTTAATCATCCAGTTTTGTGGATGAGAAAAATGGAACCTCAGAGTTAAGTTACTCACCCAAGGTCAGAGTTAATGCAGATCTTGTCGGGTTATTTGATTCTCAGGTAAAGTTCTTTAGTTTGAGCAGATTGAGTCTTTGCTTTTGGGTATGTTCCCTGTTTACAATTTGAAACAAATACCAATGTAGTGAAAAGACAATCATACTTTGGAGACCAAAGAGGGAAAAAAAGTGAAATGTATTTCAAAGTAATATCATCTCAAGAAAAAAGTATGCAAATAATTTAGAACATCTCAAAACCTCTTGATACTCACCTTCACTTAAACAATAATCCCATGGATCAGGATTTTATGAATCCCAATTTAGGATGACCGTGGTCCCCAGTGTGCCTGATTGCATTGCAAATACGACACATCAGATGATCAAATATTGGCAGTTTATTGTGGTTAACCCTGATAGAATGGCAGTGCCTTTGGCCCAGTTGTTTTACTTGCTGATGTTCACTGCCTCCCTATATTTTAATTTGATGTTTAGTTATTTAAAGCAGGAATAGTTAACATTTGTTTCTCAATGAAACACAGAAAAATTCTTACTTTATTCTCAAACAATTATTCTCTGCCTTGCTTACATCTGACTTTGGTGAGGATGTCTGGTCAGTTAAATACAGTTGGTAGAACACTTGTTCTCTCAAAAGTACTTATTTTCTCAAGACCTTCTCTGGGATGGGTTCCTAACATGCCCATTCTGACCTGGAATCACCATCCAGCTGGCAGGTTAACCAAATGGTCTTTAAGGTAAATGTCATATTTATTGTAAGTGAAGAGGTGATACACAGATAATGTGTCTTTTGATATCATCTTATGTCATTTTTTTGTTTGCTTTTGTTTTTTGAGATGGAGTCTTGCTCTGTTGCCAGGTTGGAGTGCAGTGGTGTGATCTCGGCTCACTGCAACCTCTGCCTCCTGGGTTCAAGCAATTCTCCTGCCTCAGCCTCCTGAGTAGCTGGGACTACAGGCGCGCCACCATGCCCAGCTAATTTTTGTATTTTTAGTAGAAACGGGGTTTCACCTTGTTGACCAGGATGGTCTCGATCAATTGACCTCATGATCCACCCACCTCGGCCTCCCAAAGTGCTGGGATTATAGGTGTGAGCTACCGCGCCCGGTCATGGCAGCTCTTATTTTGACTTTCTGCTAACGGAGGTTCCATGTTTCTTAATCTACCAATGCTCTTTCCTGAACAGCTGATGGCATTAGGATTTAATTAACTGAAGCCTGGAGTGTTCGCTTTGTGTAAGATGGAAGATGCAGCTGTATCAGTGAGGAATGTTTTCTGCCACAAACAGAAAATCTGTCAGGGCCAGGCGCAGTGGCTCACACCTGCAATCCCAGCACTTTGGGAGGCTGAGGTGGGTGGATCACGAGGTCAAGAGATCGAGATCATCCTGGTCAACATGGTGAAGCCCCATCTCTACTAAAAATACAAAAAATTGGCTGGGCGTAGTGGCGCATGCCTGTAATCCCAGCTACTCAGGACGCTGAGGCAGGAGAATTGCCTGAACCCAGGAGGCAGAGGTTACGGTGAGCCGAGATCGCACCATTGCACTCCAGCCTGGGTAACAAGAGCGAAACTCCGTCTCAAAAAAAAAAAAAAGAAAAGAAAAGAAAAAATCTCTCAGTAACTTTAAGTAGGGATTTTTTTTTTTTAAGCTTTAATGTATTATTTGGGAGTGGATGACTCCTGGTGTTAAAGCTCTCAGTGATACCTGTGCTGGGACTTCTGTATTCCTGTTGAACTTTTCTTCCTGAACGCCAATTAAGGCAGGAACAGGAGAAAAGACAGTACCAGACACACCTATTTTTTTTTTTAGAAAGTCTTGCTTGGTCACACAGGCTGGAGTGCAGTGGTGCCATCTCAGCTCACTGCAACCTCCACCTCCCAGATTCAAGTAATTCTCCAGCCCGAGCCTCCTGAGTAACTGGGATCACAGATAGGCACGCACCACTACACCTGGCTAATTTTTGTACTTTGAGTAGAGACAGGGTTTCACCATGTTGGCCAGGCTGGTCTCAAACTCCTGACATCTGTTGATCTGCCGACCTCTGCCTCTCAAAGTGCCGAGATTACAGACGTGAGCCACCATGCCTGGTCACATCTACTATTTTTATCAGGGAAATACAAGCTTTGACAGAAGCTTCTGTTCATGGCTCATGTGCTAAACCAGTGTTACCGGACCATGCTGACCTGCAAGAAGGTCATCCAAGTGTGTGACTTTTCCAGCCTCTGCTGTGAATGTGGTGTGGAAGGAGGCAGATGGCTGGATCAGTCACCAGCCATTTGTCCTACCACAGTTTCAGACTTTTCTCTGAATTATGCAGTGGAGTTGTGGCATATGTGTTGAGATTATAAATAAATTTATCTTGAAGGAAAAAAGGCATTCGTGCAGTCTTGCATAAAACTATTAAAGTAAGTGACCTCTTCCCACCCTGTCCCAAAGAATAGAATCTGTCAGCAATTTATAAGCCCCTTAAAAGTTTCCACTTCAGTTCTTATTCCTCTTTCTTGCCTACCCTTCCTTTTTACTGAAAGAATTGACAATCTCCTGAAGAATTCAATTCTAAACTACTGAGCAGGGCTAAGCATGGTTGGCAAGTGTGTGGTGAGGGAGGTGACCCCTTGCCCTTTGGGATGAGGAAGAGGTGTCCCAGAGAGGCAGCCTGCTGAGGGGATTCAGCCTTCTTGCTGGAAGGAAGCCACCTGCTTGGCAGGGCTTTGCTGCACCAGGAATGAGAACCTGACCCAGAGGGGAACTTGAGGTGTGAGAAGGTGGGGCCGAGTATAAAGATAGGCAGTAACCACTCCCAGCACTTCACCATACAAAGCAAAAAAAAAAAAAAAAAGGCAAATATATTCCTATTTTCATCTACATTATTTGCTAGAAGGGTGCAAATAAACAGTGATATGTATACAAATATATGCATACAATCAATCCCTCACCTTCTCAATGCCACTCTAACAAATCATTTTCCTTTGTTTCTTACTTTCATGGGTCCCAACCCTTTTTTGTATTTATGCAATAATAAAAACGTAATGTTACATTCTACCATTTTTGTCCTCCTCTGAACATTAACATTGACTGATTCTTTTTTCTTTATTTATTTCTGCAACAAGATCTCCCTCCCTCCCTCTCCCCTTCCTTCCTCCCTCCCTTCTCCCCGCTTCCTCCCTTCCTCCCTTCTTCCCCACTTACTCCCTTCCTCCCTCCCTCCCCTCCTTCCCTCCTCCCCTCCCCCCTCTCTCCCCCCAGGCTGGAGTGCCAGTGGTGTGATTTCAATTCACTGCAGCCCTACCTCCTGAGCTCAAGCAATCTTCCCATCTCAGCCTTCCAAGTAACTGGGACTACAGGCATGCGCCCAGCTAAATTTTTTATTTTAAAATTTTTTGTAGACAAGAGGGTCTCGCTGTGTTGCCTAGGCTGTTCTCAAACTCCTGGATTCAAGTGATCCTCCTACCTTTACCTTCCAAAGTGCTAGGATTACAGGTGTGAGCCACTGTCCCTGGTCTAAGATTGATTAATCGTTCAAGGGGATACTTGGGTACCTTGGACAGTTACCCTCCAGCTTTTCCATTGTACTCTTCTGCTCTCTGTTTGCAGGCTGAACATGCTGCTTTATCTAAAGGACATTTATTACAATGGGAGTAGGGGAACCTAACTGCTTTTAGATCTCTCTGTGTTTTGTGAGTTTAATGGTTAAAACTAGGTCTATTATATGATCTGGCACCTTTATTTGGCATTTATGTATGCCGGATAAATAGACATGTTCATGCATTGTTACTAGTTAAGCAAAAATGCATCATTCAAATTGCACGTCTGAACCTGTCTGCTCAGCCTACCACTATAGGTTTGAGTATGTTTTATCAAGTGACCCTTTTAGTGAACAATGAATTGGACAGAACTAAAGCCCCTGATGAGAGTATAAGCAATTGATGTTCATATAAAATCTTCTAATACTTTTGTCATTTCCTTAAATATATGGATTTACAAAAGCCTGCAGGGACTTGGTATTTGTTGAAGATAGTAATTGGCATAAGCATTCAGTAACAAAACAAATTAATATGTGATTTATTTTATGAAATCCATTTAAATGTAATTTAAAATATTTTTTAAAAACCATATCTGAGATTATCCTGAAACCCCTCTGACTCCTTGTGACATATACACATTTTATTTTCTGACTTTATTGTACTTTTGACATAAACTGCCATTTTTAGAATACTTCCTTTACAATTTTTTTATACTGACTGACAATTACTTACATGAGTTAGCTTTTCCATTGCAAATACATTTCAAGGCTTATACCTTAAACTCTTTGTTATGTGAGGCTGTTTTCTCTCCCCTTAAGTTAATGTATTTAATGGGGAAAAAATCTTATTTGGAAGAATCAAGTTACAGTTACATTTAATTCGTTGCCGTGGCAAACTGTGCATGTGTTCTCAGTCATTAGAAGCTGTTTACTAACTTTGTTTTATTTTCTTCCTCTTGAAGTCTGAGCCTTTGCACCTCCTTTTATGTTTGAGAATTCCTCCTAGTAATGTTCTTAAACAGAACATTACTTTTTTTTTTTTGTTGTTAATTGAGACAGAGCCTCACTCTGTCACCCAGGCTGGAGTGCAATGACATGATCTTGGCTCACTGCAACCTCTGCCTCGCAGGTTCAAGCAAGTCTCCTGCCTCAGCCTCCAGAGTAGCTGGGGTTACAGGGGTGCACCACCACACCTGCATATTATTTTTATTTTTAGAAGAGATTGGTTTTTGCCATGTTGGCCAGGCTGGTCTCACACTCCTGACCTCAGGTGATCTGCCTGCCTAGAGCCTCTCAAAGTGTTGAGATTACAGGTGTGAGCCACTAATCTCAACACTTGAAGAGATTAGGCAGAAAATTAGGTCAGAAAATTACTCCTATTTTTAATGAATTAGGTTACCTATTGACAATGCTTCCTGATTTGGGTTGTTGATGACTTAAGCATGAATAGTAAAAGGCTCTGGTCAAAGCTGCATGAATGGCATGCAGAAAGCCAGGTTAGGTCACAAGATGTACCCCTTTTCCCAGACTCTCTCTGGAGAGCTGGATCTGATGTGTGAGTGCATTAGTCAGGGTGCTCTAGAGGGACAGGGTGCTCTAGAGAGCTTTAAAGAATGAGCTCTCACCCATCAAAATATAGAATAGATGCACATATAAAGAATATAGAATACATACATATATATAAAGAATATAGAATAGATCATATATAAAAAAATATAGAATAAATGCATATATAAAGGAAGGTTTATTAAGGAGTATTGACTCTCGATCACAAGGTGAGGTCCCACAATAGGCCAAGTCCCAAACTGAAGAACTTGGAGTCCAGTGTTTAAGAGGAGGAAGCATCCAGCCCAAAAGAAAGATGTAGGCCAGAAGTCTCAACCAATCTAGTCTTTCCATGTTCTTTTGCCTGCTTTTATTCTGGCCACTCTGGCAGCTGATTACATGGTACCCACCCAGATTGAGAGTGGGCCTGCTTTTCCCAGCCCACTGACTCCAATGTTATTCTCCTTTGACAGCACCTTCACAAACATACCCAGGAACAATGCTTTACATGCTTCCGTACGTTTAAGTTGACACTCCATGTTATCCATCACAGTGAGAATTTTCTTCCAGTTTTATTCACTAGGTTGTTGTCTTCCACTTCATCCTAAAGACTGACTTGGTCTCAATAGCAACAACTGTTTCTAGGGCAGAGTTAACCTTGGTTTTGAAATGTTTGCTATCTTTGGTCTTACAGTAAAATGGCCTTTGGAGGGTACAAGATGCCACTCCCCCTTGTCCTCTTCACTGTGCTCAGCAATCACACTCTGCTGCCTTTGATTTTGTGACAGTTTACTGGGACCTAAGTGGTTGCTGACTGCACGAAGAAACAAGGAGGTACAGTTTTGCCTCCTGCTCTTCCCTTTTTATATTGCTTCCTTGGTTTCCTGAGATTAGAGAGTGCAATTTGTTCCTTTCATTTGAAATGTAATTATAGCTACTGGCTATAAGTCCAGAGCTATTAGTGATTTGTTTTAGTTCTCACCCTCAGTAGTGCAGTCCATCATATATGGTGGAAGGTTGCTGGGGGCAGAGGGTGAGCTGAAGGCAAGCAGAATGGAATCACATTCCCTTTGAAGGGGCAGTGAGCTGTTGAGTTATGCAAGATCCAAGATAGATTACCAGACAATCTCCGCAGTTTCATAGGTAAAGAAAGCAGATTATTTGGAATCTTTTGACCATATTTTATGGCTAAGTATCCTCTCATCTTCCCTGTCATTCCCATACATGTGTGGGAGAACAACATCTATTCTCACCATTTTTTTCAAAATATTGAAGAAGCTTCGAGTTGTTAGTAACTCTTTAAGGTAGCCATTTACCAGAGCCTCTCACCTCACAGATGTTTCTGCAAGGACACTCAGATTCAAAATGAAAATTTGAGGAGTGATGTATTCATTCTTATGCTTTGACCAATAACGCTGAAGCCATGCCTAGCTGGAGGCACCGTATCCTCCTAGTTCAGCGTCTAAAAGATAATTCATTTACATGGGTTCTACACACTTGCTTTGTTAATACAGGAAAACGTTTTCCATCACAGATTCTTAACACTGGTGTGGGTTTGCTGCTGTGTTTTGATGTACGTGCTGTCAACATAGGCTGTGTTCTAATGTCCTCTTTGATTTCACAGGAACTGACAACAGTGAAGTCCTTCCCGAATCCATCCCATCAGCTCCCGGGACACTGCCTCATTTTATAGAGGAGCCAGATGATGCTTATATTATCAAGAGCAACCCTATAGCACTCAGGTGCAAAGCGAGGCCAGCCATGCAGATATTCTTCAAATGCAACGGCGAGTGGGTCCATCAGAATGAGCACGTCTCTGAGGAGAGTCTGGACGAGAGCTCAGGTAGGAGCATGCAGAGGTCAGAAGCAGCCATAGCAACTCTTCAGATTCTCCAGTGATGATATGTCTGTCAAAGACTGGAAATCACCTGTCATCACCTTGTGTGAATGAGGTCATAGTTAAATCACTCTTGGCATGTAAGATGTGATCCTTTCTTCAAATGACTTCACAGCTGCCTTTCTTGTCTCTTCCAATAAAATGCAGAGGCATTTTCTTCTTGCCGTATATAACTTTAAACATCACATTTTGTATGGAAGTTGATAATCTCACTGGAAATAAAACCAGGCAGTCACTGTTTATATTTGCAGAATTCTAAATATTTTTGAGGACAGATATTGAATCTTGCATCAAACCCCTTGTTCAGCAGCATGATTTGTGTTTTGTTAATCTTTCCTAGATTTTTATTCTTTGCACTTGATTCTCCACCGTGGTGGTTTTTGAGTCCTCTTTTAGTTTTTTTGACTGTGGTACAGTGGCAGATTCCAAATTAGGTTACCATATTCTAGCAGGATCTCGAATATGAAAGAATTGTGGGACCATCTTTACGTTTTTAGTTTGATGAATTTGGCAGATAAGTGGTGATGATGGAAATTATGATTATACTAGCTACAGCATACTGAGCACTCACTTGTACAGCAGGCTTTATCTAAGCATTTGACATACATTGTTATCTAGCTCAGTTTTTACAACAGCCCTCTGCAGTAGGTAATGATATTATTGCCTTCTTACAGACGAGGAAACTAAGGCTCAAAGAGATTAAGTAAACTAAGTGCTTGCCCTAGATGTCAAAGTGAGATAATTTGACTCAAAACCTTCAAAATGTATACCCTTTTATATTTTAATGTTGACAGAAACAATCTATGCTTTTGAATTTTGTTTTCTCAGAAAAGATTTAATCTGGTCACATGTTAGATTATTGATTTTTTTTTTTTCAGTTGGTCAACTATTTGACTTGGTCAGCTCACTAGATCTCAGACTTTTAAATAAGTCAGAAAACATCAGTATAACTGTGAAGTTTTAAGTTAGCTTAATTTATTAACTATATAGCAGTGATATTCTATATAACAAGGTAGGCCTTTCAGAGTATTCAGAGACAGGTAAGATGATAGCCCATATAGATGGGCTTTACATGTAATGATAGAGATGAGATAAATATACCCATAAATGCAGTGCAGATCAAGTTAGGATAAATATCTGAAGACAAGACTATGGTGCTATGGAAGATTTGGACTATGAGTAAAGGTATTGTGGACTCAATAAGGGTTGAAAGGGACATGGATGAATATGTAACTCAGATGGGCATAATAGATGCTATACTATATGGGGGAGAGAGGAGTTTGAGTGGTCTGAAGGTCACAAATATTAGTAAATGAAGAAAGCTTAGTATATGTCCAGCAAAATGTTTGGTTTTGTTGAAATATAAAATTTATGTACAAAAATAACAGCCAGTAGCTAGAAAACTCAGTTTAATCAATAGCATAAAAGGCCTCAAATAAGAGTGTGGAGTCCTTTTCTTAGTTTTATGGATATTTTGGTTGTGGGGATGGATCATATTGATGTATGGCTGGAGCTCTGCTTTAAAGAATGAATCTGGCAGAAAAGTTGGTAAGCAGAAATGAGAACAAGGAAGGTAGGAGACTTGGGTAATTCAGATGAGAGAAGATAAGAACTGTTTTAAGAATTGGGGGGTGTGGGAGCACAGAAATAAAACCAGAATATGAGTAATTGTATTAACAAGGAGAAAAATCTGAGATCATAATTTTGACAAGCTAAATTTGAAATGCTTATGGTATATAACGAAGAGGTGTAGATTTGGAACTTGGGAGAATTAGGAGGTAGAAGAGTAGATTTGGGAATCATTAGGAAAGAATGAAGCCATGTAGGTGGAAGAATTGTTAGAGGGGAAGGGCCAATATGGAAAGGAAGTAGACCTAGAAATATACCTCTTCAGAAGACAGGGACAGTAGTGGCAGCCTCCAGCAAAGAAATAACCAGGGGATGCTGTGTTCCAAAGCAAAGGAGAAAATTATCTTAAAAGATCTGTGGGTAAAACTCTGTGAATAAAGAAAATGGCCAAGAACTAAACATTTTATTTCCATCTACAGAAAGAGCGCTAATCATTACACAGTTCCCAACTACTGTTGGATTGCACTAAACATTCAAAACTCCAAAAGGAGAGAAACACCTAAAACCTTTTCATAATTTCCCACTCATTCCAAATTGGAATTAGGAGGAAGAAAAAATAAAGTGCCCCATTTAGACATTTTGTTCTTCAGATCAGAGCATGCTTAGAATCCTAGAATCTAAATGTAAGAACTGGGAGAGATCTTTAGTGATAAATAGTCCTATTTTATACATTAAAAATCTTAGAGTCAAGAGACATAATTAGGCTGGGTACAATCCCAGCACTTTGGGAGGTGGAGGTGGATGGATCATGAGGTCAGGAGTTTGAGACCAGCCTGGCCAAGATGGCAAAACTCCATCTCTACTAAAAATACAAAAATTAGCCAGGAGTCATGGTGGACGCCTGTAATCCCAACTACTCAGGCGGCTAAGGCAGGAGACTCACTTGAACCTGGGATGTGGAGGTTGTAGTGAGCCACTTCCACTCCATTGAACTCCAGCCTGAGTGACAGAGCGACACACTGTCTCAAAAAAGAAAAGAAAAAAAAGAGATACAATTAGATCATGGCATAGCTGTTTTAAGACCCAGATCTCCTGATTGTTCCTTCAGGTGAATTTCTTCAACACCATCAGCCACCTTTGCCTATAGATTTATATACTTTTCTCCCAAATCAAAATATTGGCAAGTTTTCTTGCTGACATAAGGAAGAATTGAAGCTCATCATTTTCCATTATGAATCTATTTAGGGTTTTAGTCACTCAAGTGTATAATCCTATACATATATCATTAGGATTTCTTTATTGCTGACCATTTCTTCCATCTTTGTAAAAAGCCGATCCCTTAATTTGGGTCATGTTTCTGGCACTGTTAGACAAAAATTTAGAGCAAGCAATGATAGATATTTCCAGGATTGTTGGTACAGTTTACTTTTTGAAGGAAGGATTTGGCATTTTGATGGGAAACGGAGAGAACAAATTGGATCTTGATTTCAGGAACATTTCCAATCTTGCTCTCCCAAGGCTGGGATCCAGGAGAGACCTAGATGGATAGGCCTGGTGCTGGGAGAGATTGAGTCAGAGACAACAGTAGTCTTACTTACATTGGCATTAAAAATTCAAAGGAAGACACTGGGATTTGGGAGAGGGCAACCATGAGAATATCTACCATATAAGCAGAAGCCTACAAAACAATGGCAGAATATGAAAGGCTCATGTGTCTTTTGCTCAATTAGTACAACTAAAAAAGGACTCAAATACCAGTGGCTCACTGGGGCTGTATGTTTTATCATTAGATGTCTCTGTCCTAGATTTTGCCCAGCGATGAACTCAAAATAGCAGAATCCCATTGGGGAAACTCTTCCAAATGAAAGATAGAACATTGAGAAAAGATCAGCCGTTTCTTTTACCACTGCTAGAAAATTTTTATATACTTTCTCATATAAAGACCTCTTTAAGTATTGCAAGCCAATTCAACAGTGCACCCTCTTGTAATTTCACTACATTCTGTTTTGTTATTGCTTCCCCCTTTTTATTCCCCTAGCATTGCTAGGCAACTCCATGTCATGTGGATAGCGTTTTTGATTACATTTTCTACCTCCATGTGGAAATCTCCTCTCCACTTCCTTAAAAAAAAAAAAAAATCCAATAAAGGACGCATACTTCAAAAATTTATAAATGACAAAATCTAAGGAGATTATATACCATTTTTTAAAAAATATGCTGTTGAGAAAGAATTTAAATTTTAGCAGATACATTTTTTAAAAGGACTTAATAAGCACAACTTTTCTTCCAAGTCATTTTGATTGAATCAATGCGAAAGAAATGTCTCTCCCTAAACGGTTTTCTTCTGCGTAGTTAATGAAAATCACTATGTACCACACACTGCAATTATGTTTCCTAAGCTCTGTATTAATAGTAGAATTGTGGAAACAGAGCAAGATGAGTGGAGATATTATACCCCTAACCAATACGTAAGTGCAATTTAGGTTGGAAACAAAATGGCCTCAGGTATTGAAACATAGATGCATTACCTCCCTTGGGTTCTCCAAGGTAGAGCTGGGAAACAGGACTTGACTCCCTTTACAGACTTAATGGCTTTTGACTGGATCCATAAAATAATTCCTCTCAGCCTAATAGGAGTAAATGACTCTGAGAAGCCAAGGACAATGGGACCACATTTGACCAGAGAGAGAGAGTACTGTCCATATTTTTTTAAGTCCTGTCAAAAATAACTTCTATATCTCTTTGGACAAGATATTCTCCATTTCTGAAATTCTAGAGAAATTGGATATATACGTTTTTTTTACTTACAGGCATTTTGTCTTCAGAACTAATGGGAAATGCATAGGACCTGGGAGTGTCTGGAGTAGACACAGAATCTTTTGTGTTCCTAAATTGGAAGCAATAAGTCCTTTCAGTTGTTAAAGGCTAAAAACTGCCTTTGGTCTTTCTGGTAATTTGGCCCTGTCATCTAACAGTTCAAAGAAGAAAAAGGATTGGGTGTTTTCATGCAGTTTAGCTTGGAAAACCCAGAGCTAGAGTTCTTTCCTGCAAAAAGTACAATTTATTTGACATGAGTTACTGTGTTTGCACAGACAAGGCCATATCTCTTAGTAATGTACACTTGCAGTTCCCTGCACTAGCTATGAGATCCTCTTTCATTTGTTCTGCCTCATTTCATTTGGAAATATGGGAACTCGTCTTCCTTGTGTTGTTCTTCTGTTAACATCTGGAAGCTCAGAGTTGAGAAGTAATCTCAACCCGAGAGCCATGCCCCTGTGAAAAGGATGAAGTATGCAGTAACACAGAAATTAAGAGCTTTAACCTAACAGGCAGACACACGTATGTCATACACACAATAGTAAACAACAACAAACCAC